CACAAGGTTAGAGGAAAAAGGGGTGAGGCAAGCTCGCATACCAAGTTCAGAGTTCGGCCTTGAGGATTCAATGGGACGAACTGCAGGGTTGTAATCTAGCAGCCCGGATTCAAGCAGCAGCTCGTCGGTCACCAGGGTTCCGACCTTCCTACCCCTCGGAAAGCGCTCCTTGTAGTATTTCAGCGTGTCGAAGGAGGCTTGCGTAAGCTCGGGGACTGGTCGGATTGAAACTGCACGAAGACAAAATCCGAGTTAGACCTGAATGACAGAAGAAAATTACGAAAAGCAAGAACTACTCTGTACCTAGGTTCCCAAACCTAGTGGGGACGTCAAAGAAGGAACGACCTGACTCGTCCTTTGCGAGCCATTCCCCGGAAGCGTAGAACCACTTCCTCACCCATCCCTTGATGGAGGTCGGCCCCTTAACTATACCGCCTGCGCCTTTCCTTGCGCACATATAGAACCGACCAGGCTTCTTAGCTATCCTTTTCGCTTCGAAGCACGCGAGGAGCTGGTCTACGTCCAACAGCTCGGCCTCCTCACTATCCCGAGCTCGTAGCCAAAAAAGGATGGCCAAAGCGAAAATGACACCCCACCCATTGGGGGCCACTTGAGCCGGAGCCAACCCAGTCCGGAAGAGAAATTCTTGGACAAAAGGATGAAGGGGAAGTCTGAGGCCGTACTCAAACATTTTGAAGTAGAGAGTGACCCATCCCTCTGGAGGATTGTCAGCTCTCTCCCCCTCCTCCGGAAGCCTGAGGAGGATGTTTTCAGGGATAGCGAACCCCCTACGAAGGGATCCGAGGTAGTGCTCAGGTATCCTAGAAGGGTATTCCAAACCCTGACCTGAAGTGGAGGCGTCACTATCCTCCCCGTCATCGGAGAATCTAAAGTTTTCTATCTCCYCGAKCTCGGACTCTAACCTACGAGCTAAATCGGATCCTAAGTTGCTGCTAAAAGAGGACGACATGGCAACTACGAGAGAGGGAAGAGACCGACCTACCAAGGGTTCGAGCTGCCTTCAGATCGAACTCCAAGAATTCAGGGAACGTRAGRTATGAYCTGAAGGATTGGGGGCATTTATAGCCCGTCGGAAGAATTTCCCCACCGTACACGTGTAATCAACGAGCGGCTAGGATCCTCCCTGAGATCCGAAGCGTCGGRACATTTGAATATTCCGACGATAAATCTTCCGCGACGGTTGTATTTTCCCACGAATAGGAAGTCGCCACGTGTCYAAAGCAAGTCGAATGAACTTCTCTGCCAGGTCGAGATCGGACCAGACAGAGAGGGGGCCAATGTTTGGGGAAGGGAATACCCTGGACACGTGGAGGACCCCTATTGGTTCTCCAAGATGGCTCATGAGTCATGCCCAGCTCGGACCGCCGAGATCACCACCACTAGCGTTGACAGATGCTAAGTATGAGGGCCGAGGTGAACCTGGTCAAGGTCCGACCTACCGGGAAGCTCGGTAGGGGCCGATGTGAGCAACTGTCAGCGGCGTGATTATAGGGTGTAACCGTCAGTCCCGAGATTACCGGGTGTAACCGACGGTCCCGAGATTACCGGGTGTAACCGTCGCGAGATTAGCGGGACTACCACCCATAAGTAGAGGACCTCACTCCCCGATCAGGTACGATGATTTCGGGCCTCGAACTAAACTGGGAATCCGACCTATACTGACTTGATCGTCGGAGTGCTCACCTTTTTGTGCAGGTCCGCCCAAGTGTTCAGGTCAGTCCGGAGGCCGAGTTCGAGCTACAATCTGGAACACATTGTTGTGCATATCCTTGCATAAACAAAATGCCTTGGGGAAGACGACACCAACTGCATTTGCTATGCTTGGTCGACAATCCAAGACGATTACCAAATCCTCATGTTCTCCTACTACATTCTTCATTTCTATCATGAACCAACTTCACAACCGGTAATTTTCATTGTCCATGCAATGGGATATATATATATATATATATATATATATATATATTATCATTCTCATCTATTGTAACCGCAACCAACATAATACCTTTCAACTTATCTCTCAAATGTGTGTCATCTTCCATGATAACATGGCGGATGTAATTCAAAAATTCTTGGATGCATGCTTCTAACGCCATAAACATGTGTTTAAACTGCGATGTGTCTTTTTCTTTCTCGATTTCATAAAGAGTACGTAGATTTTCTATATTTCTCCATAAGCATACATCTGGGGATAAGAATCTTCTAGTCTTTCCAGTACTCTTTGTGGGATAAGAATTTTCTATCTTCAGTGTTTCTCCATAAGCATACATCGGTGTTTCTCCATAAACACGTACGAAAATCGTTTTTCCTTTACAAATCGTTCTGCTTGGTTGCATAAGCCTGTGACCTGAGCGGAAGCATTAAAATGGTTCACCTTTTTTTCTATTGAGATTCGATCCTCCACTCCTAAATTATGGGATCTTACTTGCACATTCTTTCATTTTCATTTTGGTTAATCTCTCCCGTAAACTTCCCAAAATCAATTTAAAAAACTTTTTAATTATTTTTCATTAAATAACTGACACTATGTCCATTCAATTTTAGGAAAAAAAAAATTGGCATTAAATTTTTTTATTTTTTATTTTACCAGGATTGTTTAACTTACAAATTCATGAGCACGAGAATAACGATGGGGTTAATTATGCATTGTTTCTTTAAATATATAATGGAAAAATATGATTTGGACAATAAATATATGTGTAGGTGGATAAGACTTCTTTATTATGTTAGTTACAGAGATCAAGTATCAAATCTTCACTTTTGTATTTATTTTGTGATATTTTATATTAAAAAACATTATTTTTAAGATTATAATATTAAAAAATTAAAATAATGATACTTCACTTTTGTATTTATTTTGTGATATTTTATATTAAAAAAACATTATTTTTAATATTATAATATTAAAAAATTAAAATAAGATTTTTGTTCATCGCCTGAGAGATATCGAACTCTCGTGGGGAAGCCCCATGAACTTAGCAGGCATACGCCTTAACCACTCAGCCAAAGCGACTTTTGGTTTCCTAAAATTATCATTGTTTACTCGTTCTTTAAAACACAATAATCTATTTTCATACTCTCGTAAAAAAATTTAAATGTGAAATGAGTTTATAATGACTTGAGTGAGAGATTTATTTAAAACATGGGATTTCGATCATTTTTTTTCTTCAAAGAATGTAATAGGGATGAAATATTATTTTCTAGTTGTTAGCTTGAAAACTCTAATAAAATAATTATTTTATTAGAGTTTTCAAAATGGAGGGAGAAGAAAAAGAGTTAAAGAAAAGTGAGATTGAAGAGAGAAAAAAAAAACTAAGAACAAAATAGGAGACCACAGAAGAACGTAAAACAAAGAGAGCCAGAAGACAGAGGAAGGGAGAATGAAAAAAATGAGAGAGAGAAAGAAAACGACAAAAGGAGGAGGGAGTACTCGAACAACAAAATGAATAATGGCCAAACTAAATCAGGCATTATAAATAATGGCCAAATATATTATATTTTTCATAAATGGCTAAGTGATTTTTTTTTTTTAATCATGAACGACCATATATCCCATATGCTAAATTTTGAGGATTTATTTGATAGAACGAATAGCAAAATCAACTAACCTTAATTATAGGGAATCAACCATATCTAATCAAACGATCAAATTTAAACAATCTAATCTAATTTAAAATTAGTATACTATATTTTGAAAGCAGATTTTGAAAATAGATCTTAAAATTACTAAAAAATTGTTAAAAATTCCAAAATAAGGAGGGGTCAGTATGAATATTTGTAGGGAAATTTAACAAAACCTAGCACCTTARCCTTGTGTTTTGAAGAAGAGGAATTTAGGGTTTCTCCCCATTGTAGCAACCCTTCCTTTTTGCTCCACATCTCCACCTACAATCCGTGCCCTCCTTATAGTTGTCGGTCAGTCCTCCGATAACTCCTCCAACCTTTCGTACTCAGGCCGTTGGAACTCCTCCATCTATCGTTTGCGCGCCCCATGTCTGGTATCGGCTTCTTCTGTCTTACACTGTCGACTTTTCCCGTCCACGTCCGGGGTCGGCTTCTCCCGTCTTACATCAGTCGCGCGTCCACCATTGACCCCGAATGAGTTCCACCACAGCCACGAGTTCCTCCACCGCCCAGATCTACCGTCGCCCAGATCTGCCATCTACTGTCGTCGGCCGCCCAGATCCAAAACTCCGCCTGCAGCCTAGATCTGGTATGACTTGTTCCCCGATCTGCCACTGTCAACATTCACTGGGAGTCCATTGTAAGTCCAGCAGTCTTTTTGTTTTGATTTTGGGTCTTTAAACGATAGAAAGATAACAAAAGAAAAGTTTAAAAACTCGTTTTTTGCCTTCTCGTAATTTAAGGAGAATTTAAAAATAAAAAATAGGCATGGGACCGATCACATTCATTTAAAATCAAATCTAAGGGATATATCTACGTAAGTCCTACTACTTTCTATATTTAAACAGATTAAAATATTAGATATGGTCAATGTTAGARGAGGAACACGGGAGGTTGCCATGAATACTGCAGAATGTGATGATGTTCAAAAAATAAAAAATAAAAAATTTAATGATACTAGCAAAAAGAGGGGCGACGAAGACTTAGTGGGAGGTAAGTGAAAACATGCCAAAGTTGAAAGGAATTTGTGTTCAAGTAAGAAGAAAGAGTTAAGTCATGAACTATAATAACGTAAGGAATCTTTGTGTTCAATAGTAATATTTACAAATTTAACTACTAATGTAATTGTACTCGTATGTTTCAGGGAAAAAGAAAGAGTCTAAAGGTAATAGAGGAAGAACCTATTAGTAAGGTAATTAGTACGCTTCAATGTTATTGGTGTATACATGTATTGATTCCCTAATTTTGATAATTGAGCTACATTGTGGTATATATATCTCCTAAATTCGATAATTGAGTTGCATTGTGATATATACATGTATTGATCTCCTAAATTTGATAATTGAGTTGTATTGTGATATATATATATATATATATTGTATTGACCTCCTATTAATAACTGGATGAAAACAGTAGTGTACTATTAAACACTAGTACCAAAAACAAAAGAATAGTTTGATTTGGAATATCGTGAGAACAATGAAAATAAATTTAGAAAACAGTAAGTGGACAGTTGCAGAAATATTTTGATACAATGTTGTAGCATCTGTCACAGAAAAGTCGCAGTTGTAATGGAGAAACGATTCAAAGGTAAATCGAGGGTGATTCGCTCAGAAGCTTTCACCCTTTTTATAGCTGTTGATGCTGGAATTCGGCCCCCAAGGATCTCGCCAAATTTGCACCAATCTTCTAGAATAAAGGGATAGATGAGACCGGCAAAACAGAATAGTACTAAAGACCGGTGTGGCTTCTACCACATAGGCTCCGATGCTTAAGTCAGAATCGGAGTAGTTGAGTATAAAGTGTAGGTTGTTGTGAACATACCTTTAGGATTTAGCTTACTCTCCTATTTATAGAAGTCAAAATCTTAATCCCTTCAGGATTTACATTAGTTGAATCCTATTCCGTTTAGAATTTACATATAAGTTGAATCCTAATGCACTCAGGAGATCTTAGACGGAGTGGGCCTCATGCTGCATTCAAGGCCAAGACCAAGTTGACTCGGATCGGGCTGCGTGGGGGTCGGGTCGATAACCTGTTCAATGTGCCCCGACCCCCGTGCAGCGGGTCGAGAACTCCTTGGCGTCGAACAGTGCTTAACGCCGACCCTGGGTCG